TCCCCCACCGGTCCACGGGGGGAGAGGGGGGGAGTGTGTCTTGCTCACTCATGGCATGAGGCAGCAGGAGGAAAGCGGAAAGTTTTGTCCGACCGAATTTACAGCAATAATCTGGGTGCATTTAGTGTCCAGATTTAAATTAGAGCTTTCACATCTGAACCCTATACAAAGTATAGAATTCAGAATATTTATGAAGCAAAAGAAAAATTGGATCCAAATGCATTAGGCAGAATGCATGTTCGCAAATTATTGTTCATTTGCTTTTTGCAAGTGTACGATAATTTGAAGTACTATTTGCCCATTGGCAGTGCTATCAGCCAGCAGGCAATTAGTTAAAAACCCTTGGCAGTGTGATGATGATTCTGGTCTATATAATACAGTGGGAACCTGTTATCACTCCCAGTCCTCACAATATATAAGGGAAGTGAGACATACCATTGTTCACCACCCAAATTTGTACCATTGCCAATAGTCTTAGAGATAGCAAAAAAACGGGCATAACCCATAGCCTGATTGACGAAAAAGACACTATTAAATGTTAAATATTTGGACCAATATGCACTCTCCAATATAGGTTGCTATCTCTAAGACTATTGGGAATATCCAGCTCTAACATAAAACTTATGGAATTTCTCATCAAATTAGAAGAATCTCATTTGGAAGGGGTCAACCAGAACCTTGAGACTGAAATCAGTAAAATGAAAGCCTTTCAAACACACCCTGAATTCAAACTAATGGAAACAAAACTAAACAACAATTTGGAAAATTTTAAGAAACATATTAGGGAAAAAAAACATCACAAGTACCAAAGAGATTATAAAGACTTTAAAGAAGGCATGATCTTTAGACAAAGAAATAAAAATAGAAAAAAATATAACAGTCGGCAGAATTCCACCACATCCGGAGAAACGGATTGGTCTGGTTCTGATCTTAGTCCTCCAAGGAGAACTATTAACACTTCAAATAACACCCAACAAAGAAGAAAAAGCATTTTAAAACCAGCTGATAAAAATGTGTCCTTTCCGGACACACAATTTAGCAATCCTCCTAATATTACTAAAAATCCATTGATCTCTGATGTTTCTTTATCATTGGGGGCATCTTTTTTAGATCAGGAGTGGCCCCAACCCCAGAGAGGCAAACTCCGAGACAGAAAAAGATGGGGGTACAAAATAAACAAGGAAGGCCACAAGAATTAATGAATTATCACACCACTGAGGATAATTTTATCATCAATTTATCCACCTTCAATTTGGAAAATAAACATATATCCCTGCTTAGAAATGGTCTGAATTTTGTTCCTTCTCCTACTACAAATAAATTTGAATGGGTTAAAGATACCAATCTTTTTAGACGAAAACTTGCCCTTAATATCATTCACAAAAGAAGAGATAACAAACTAGCAAAAGAATTGGGGCTAAGTTATGAGGACTACCAACATCTCCAGACCATGGTATCCCTCCTTGATGAACAAGAAACTAAACAACCCCTCACTAATTGCAAACCATCAAGCTGGTATACACTAAACTTCAAAGAAGTGTCTAGTGTAGATTTATTTGTACAGATGACAACAAAGGCCCTTGAGTCATTGCCCTCTTGTGATGAATATCTGGACAATTTAACTAAAGCAGAACGTGAGGCACTGAGCAATAACAAAGATCTGATTATCAAACCATCGGACAAAGGAGGAAATATAGTCCTAATGGACCAACAAAACTATGTCAGTATGTGTATGGAACACTTGAAAGACACCAGCCAGTATCAAGTTCTTCCAGTGGATCCAACTAAGACATTTCTTTTAGAACTAAAGGGGCTACTAACTCAGGCATTGGAAAAACACATTATTAGTCGAGAAGAGTTTAAATTTATGATTCCTAACAACTGTCCTATGATCTCGACCTTTTATTGCCTTCCCAAAATTCACAAGTGTCGTAAGAATCCACCTGGGAGACCTATCATCTCTGGCAATAACTCTTTGACTGAAAAAGTTAGCAAATTTCTAGAGAAAATACTCCACCCATTTGTCACTAATTTGGAGTCGTATGTCCAGGATACTAAACAAACTCTACTAACGTTAGAAAATTTGGTAGTACCTCCATATACCTTACTTGCAAGTCTGGATGTAGTTTCTCTATATAATAACATCCCTCATGACAAAGATTTATGTGCAACATCTTATTTCCTCCACAAATCTTCCAAATATAATTTGGAACAAATGGAAACCATTTTATTGCTCCTCGAGTTTGTCCTGACCCATAACTATTTTTGTATTATTTACAATTATGCGGCATTGCTATGGGTACGGCTTGTGCCCCCAGTTACGCCAACCTATATTTGGGTTGGTGGGAAGCAACCATCCTAAAAGAAACAACAACTGACCACTATGATCAATATATTCACAAGTGGCTAAGATATATTGACGATATCCTAATATTTTGGACCAGTTCCTGCCCAAAGTTCATAGACATGGTTAATGAACTAAATGTGAATAATATTGGTCTTAAACTTACATATGTGATTCACGAAACCCAACTGGAATTCTTAGATTTAAGAATTCTATTAAACACAGATGGAACTGTGGACACGGAACTTTTTAGGAAAAGTACAGCTTCTAATAGCCTTCTGCACTGGCAAAGTTTCCACCCTTACCGCCTCAAAGTAGGCATACCATATGGCCAGTATCTGAGAGCTCGAAGGAATTGCTCAAATGAAGAGTCCTTTCAAGCCGAAGCTAAAAGACTAAGAATTCGATTCAAAAATAAAGGCTATCCAAACCGAATTTTAAAAAAAGCATACCAAAAAACTATAGCCCAAGATAGAAGTCTAAGTCTTCGATCTTCTAGACCCACATCCACCAACCAGCTAACAAGATGTATAGGCACTTTTGACCAAAAATGGCAACCCATTAAACAAATCTTTACACAACATTGGCCGATTCTAGAGTATGACAAGGACTTGGATCCAAAACATATTGCGTACCCCAACATCACTGCACGAAGGTCTAAGAATCTCCGGGACATGCTAGTCCGTAGCCACTTGGAAAGCAAACCATCACCAAGTAGCTGGCTAAGTGCCCCAATTGGCATTCATAAGTGTGGACATTGCAAAGCATGTCCCTTTGTCAAAATCTCCAAAACAGTTAAATGTCAGAAAACTCAAAAAGAGTACCAAGTTAAACATTTCATTAACTGCAGTACGACACGAATCATTTACTGTATATACTCGTGTATAAGTCGATCTCATGTATAAGTCGAGTGCAGTTTTGTGACCAACAATTGTGACATATGCTATGCCTCGTGGATAAGTCAGCTATGAAATTCTGTGATTTTTATAATTATATACACACACGCTCATACAAACACACACTCTGCATTATATATACACACACTCATACAAACACACACTCTGCATTATATACACACACACACTCATACAAACACACACTCTGCATTATATACACACACACACACACTCATACAAACACACACTCTGCATTATATACACACACTGTGTGTATATAATGCAGAGTGTGTATATAATGCAGAGTGTGTGTTTGTGTAGTGTGTGTGAACTGGGTGGGGGGGAGGGCATTTTTATTATTTTAATTTTTTTTTATTTTAATATTATTATTTTTTTATTTTAATTTTTTTTTGTCCCCCCTCCCTGCTTGTTAACTGGTCAGGGAGGGGGGCTATCTTAATCCCTGGTGGTCCAGTGGCATGGGCTGTGAAGTGGGGGGGCCAGCAGGAAGCATTTACTTACCTTTCCTGCAGCTCCTGTCAGCTCCTGTCAGCTCCTGTCAGCTCCCTTCTCCTCCGTTCCGGTCAGCTCCACTGTAAGTCTCGCGGTCTGGTTGCCGCGCGGATCGTTGCCATGGCTCTGACGGCCGCGGCTCTCTAAGTTGCCATAATACAGACAGTGACTCGAGTATAAGTCGAGTGGGAGTTTTTAAGCACAAAAAATGTGCTGAAAAACTAGACTTATACTCGAGTATATACTGTATGTTATTACTTGTCAGTGTGGCATACAATACATTGGCAAAACCTATCAGGAATTTAGGAGACGTATTCTCCAACATATCAACTTGGTCAAAAATCTCAATTTAAGTACCCCTGTTGCCAATCACGTTCAGAATTTCCATGATGGCAATCCAACTAACTCATCATTCCAAGCCCTAGAAAGAGTTACTTTGAATTCTAGAAAAGGTAATTTCAATTTAATTTTACTACAAAAGGAATCAAGATGGATATATGAATTCCAAACTTTAACACCAGGGGGCCTCAATGAGGAATTTAACTTTACCCCCTTTATTCATTAAAACTATAACTATACATTTTTAAAAAAGTTTTTCATTGTAGCTTAATCAAGCAGCTCCTGTTTTTTCTCTATACTCTTTAGTTTAATGTTAAGTTTGGAGGTTACTTACCTCTTTCTCTTCAATTTGTTTGAAACATCTATGACTAACAATTCCCGGACACCTTCTACTCCAACTCCTTAAAACAAGGTTATTCTTGACCACACTCTCCTATGCAGGGCCGGACTGGGAAAAAAATTAGGCCCGGGCATTTTTCAATTAGAGCGGCCCACAAGAAGGGGGCGGGGCCAGAGAGGGTGTGTTTGTCATCACTAATGACAAGTACACCCCCTCTGAAAGTGAGCATGTTGGTTCAATGCGCAGAGCCCCGCTGAAGAGCTCAAGCATTAGAAAAAGGCCCTGTATTTGTTCTGCGCAGCGCAAGCAAATGTAATAACATGCTTGCGCTGTGTTTGCTTTTAAATTGTCTCTGGTGTCTCCACAAGTGGGATACCAGAGGACACAAGGGCCAGGAAAGTGTATGGTGCATGTGTTTGGCGCATGCTTGTGGGATTGCCTGTGTGTAGAGTGTGGTGTGGTATTGTGTAAATAGGTCAATTTTGTGGTGTAATATGTGTGGCTAGGTGCTGTAGAGAGTGCGTGTATAGGGGCATAGTGTTATAGGGGATGTAGCGAGTGTGTGCATACGGGCAGTAGTGTGTGTGTATAGGTGACGTAGTGTGTGTCACTTATACACACACACTACTGTGTGTAGAGAGGGTGTGTTTAGAGAATGTTGTATGTGTTTGCAGTGTGTGTGTAAGAGATCTAGTGTGTAAAGGACCCAGAGTGTGTATAGAAGATTGTGTGTATGTGTGTGTAGAGGATTAAGAGTGCATATAGGGTAAGGGATCTAGCGTGTATCTGGAGCGTAATGTGTGTAGTGGTGCAGTGTGAGACGTGCTGTAGTGTGTGTCTGTGTATATATATATATATATATATATATATATAATATATTTGGACGTATTGTATGTGTGAGGTGCACAGCGTGTTTGTGTAAGAGGAGTGCTGTGTGTGAGGGTGTTTTTATCTGCCGTCACATTCTGGGTTTCTAATTTTATTTGTCTGTTAACTCACTGAGGGTTATTTTATATAATATAAATGTGCTGTATATGTGTGGGAGTGAGGGTGCTGTCTGTCTGTGGGGGCTGTGTGTGTGTCTGGGTGGGCTGTGTGTGTCTGGGGGTGCTGTGTGTGTGTGTGTGTGTGTCTGGGTGCTGTGTGTGTGGGGGGGCTGTTAGGGTAATTATTTTAAATATATATATTTTTTTATTTTATTAATAATTATAATATTATAATAATTAATAATAATAAAAAAAAAAAAGTTATGCCCCCCCCCCCTCCTTCTTACCTTAAGCCTGGGAGGGGGGGGGGCGCATGCTGTCATCCTTCCCTGGTGGTCCAGTGTTGAGAGTGAACTCCAGCCTGCAGGCTAGAGTTCACTCTCGCGAGATCTGAGCGTTGCCGTGGTAACCGCGGCAACGCTCAGAATCCCGCGAGAGGACCCGGCGGAGCTGCTTGTTAGAGCTCTGCCGGGTCCTCTCTCCTGCCTCCCTCCCTCACTCCCCAGCCTGCGGCCGCCTGTAACAGTGCCTGTGGGCCGGTGAGGGAGATCTGTGATCTCCCCACCGGCCCACGGAGGCACACAGCAGGGCCGGCGCTCGGATAGCGCTGGCCCTGCACGGGCTGGCAGGGGAGATCCTGTGATCTCCCCTGCTGGCCTCGGCCCCACAGCCATCGCGGCCCACCGGGCATTTGCCCGGTATGCCCGATGGCCAGTCCGGGCCTGCTCCTATGCTGTTATAATCTTTACTTGAAAACGTTTTATAGGATCGGTCTATATAACCATCGTAGCAGCAAGCAGGGTGTATTTTCCTCTCCTCTCTGGCTTCCTTTACGCCATACAGTCTAGGTACAATAATTGTATGGATCTCCCATTTAGAAATCTTACAGACTCTTTAGGTCTATTAGACGTTACCTTTATGTATGAACATCTGACGGCACCCACGATTGGGCACTGTCTTTTCATAGTTACATACTACATAATCGTTTGAATCTATTGGTGAGAAACATTGTAGCATAGTTTCATTTTTAGTTTCATCTTTTGAATTATATATATTCCCTATATTTTCTTTTTAACTATGTGTGCCTTAGAACATCACTATCTCCTAAATCACTGGAAACAGCAAGGTTTTCTCTTGTTTGATGAATATCATTAACCTATATTGGAGAGTGCATATTGGTCCAAATATTTAACATTTAATAGTGTCTTTTTCGTCAATCAGGCTATGGGTTATGCCTGTTTTTTTGCTATCTCTAAGACTATTGGGAATATCCAGCTCTAACTAAGAACTATCAGTTTCCCGAAAAGTTTGGTGGCATTTGTTAATTACTATTATTTATATCGGAATGTGTCTATTGGGATAAATATAGAATTATGTTTTAAGCTATTGACTCCAACTAATTGACATATTTGTTTATACAGGAGCTCTCGTTCTGTACGTGGCACTGGC